GCGCGGATTATTGTCGTGGACGCGACGCGGTGCGCCGTGAGAGGAATCCTTCACGCGACGCACGGCCGTGCTCGCGTGTTTCCGTGGCAACCGTAAACAGGCGCCTCCGAAATTTTACTGGCGGGCTATCGTATCGCACAAAGCAGGTGGGTCACCCCTTTTACGATCCGCACGTGGAATATACCAGCGGGATCTCGCTATCTCGGGCCTCGTCTACCCCCTCTTTTCGCCCCCCACGTTCCTCTTTCCCGAGCTTTCGTCACAGCGTTGCGCATTCGACTATCGAACTCGATTAATTTCCAATGGATGCTCGTAAAGAGCGCTTTACTGGCTGTTATACGTGCCGATATGCTTGCGAAAGGGCACGTTCGTTCGCCGCGCCGATACGGCCGTAGACCTCGTTTGGGTCTGTCGGGAGATACTTCCTCGCTCCGGAGGAAGAACGACCGCAATCTCCGTAATGGAGAGGAATCCGTCGGCGTCGGAGGCGTTTCGGGACCGCTAGTAAATTGTCTCGCGCGAAAGACTGAATTGTTGTGTCCGATTCCGCACGTTTCCGCGCGTACCGGCGATCATTTCGACCAGAGGTTCCCAAATTTTTCAGCTTTGTGCTCTCTTTTGATACTTTTCGTCAACTCTTGTTTGAATTTTCCATGATAATCTTTTTTTAAAGAGTCTATAAATATTTTCTATTCACCGATTCAGGGGCAAAGTAGAAATATGCACTATCGCCGAATGCAATGACTACTCTAAAGTTTCCGCGGAAAATGAATAGTCGGATTTTCTCGCAAAAGCGACTCTCGATTAGATGTATAAACGATATTCGTAGATCATTAATAAGTAATAAGGCGTTTCCGTTTTCTATGATAGAAATAAAATCTCACGATAAAATAATCGCAGAGATAAATAAACAAATAAATTTGGAAAATGCCGACAATCCAATGAAACAGTAAGGTAGTTAATAACGAACAATGAAATAAAAAAAAATGAAAAGTACGTGAATCAATAATATATAAATTAGAAAGAGAGACAGAGAGAAGGAAAGAGAGTGCAAATTTCTTCTTCGATAGACGTAAATTAATGGATATTATTGCATATGATATTTTGTACATAAAATATCGATTAATATTCTATTAATCATGCTACTAATAAATTATTTAATAGAAATAAAAGTATCCTTGTTTTTATATTTTTCTGTGCGTAATGTTGTTATTTTAAAAATTTTCGATATACCTCTTGATAATTAATCGATAGCGATCGTATTGATAGTTACTTCGAAAGCACTTAACCGGTATTTCTTGTCGATAATTAAATGCACTGATAAAGCATTTCAAACGATAAACTATCTTCTTTGTATACGAGTCACAAATGTATTATCTATCAACCGTATCTTTTTTCCATAAATCAGCATTCATGCGAAATCATGATGCAATCAAAACAAGACTCACAACGGGAGATATGAGAAAATAGCGAAAGTCATAACTGATTTATATATGGCGCGAACGAGCCGCATTTTAATTGAGATATAAATTTCTGGGCGCGAATATATCCATGATTGAAACCACGATTCAATTTCATTACGGAATTTAATGTCATGCAGTGTCAATAAAATGTCGACGATATCTATCCAACAATCCGCCACTTCACGCTGAACTCTGCGCTTATTTTTAAACTTACCACTTCTGAATAGTATTGCAAAACTGGTTTTATTAGATACATTAAATTATTAGAACAGAGATATATATGACAATATAATAAAAGCAAAAGTAAAATAATAAGTTTGAGAATTCAAATTAAGTATTAAATTTTATATTAACTCGCGAGTCTTTCAATTTTTTATTTTTTATTGATCTGCAATCTAAATTAAAGGATGAATATTTTCTACGAAGATTTATTACTCATTACTTTATTTATCTAAATAGTTGTTATACCTTCAAGACATTAATATAAATAGATTGAAATTTGTTTAATCGATAAGTTTTTTTTTTTATATTCTTATCTTATGTGACTCTATTTGATTGAATTTTCAGCTTTAACTAGTAAATAATTGATTAATGTTGCTCTATCGATGGTTTGTCAAGTTCAACATATTTAAAAATACGCTAATGGTATTGTATGATTAGTACCCTGCCTACCGGTTTGCTACTTTACATTGACGCTTGATGGGTCGTCTCTGTTAAGGCGTAATTATTTTATGATGTTCTTCAATCAAATGCAAGTGTACACAATTACGACGAGCGCGAACATAATAATTAAATTAAGGAGAAATATAAATGAGATTCAGGCTGTATCTTTTGTGACATTTCGCACTTTCTAAAAGAATAATTGCTACTTTTTTAGTTTATAGTTCTCCAGGAATTAACAAAGATTTAGCGTTAAATTATAGATATAAGTCGAAATTAAATGTTGATATAAAAATTCATATCCATACTTCACATTTAACGTTAAATATTAAAAATTTTATATGACTTTATTATTTTTGATTAAAATTATTTACTTTTTTTCTCTCAATTAAGAATCAATGATTTTTTAAATCAAATAATTTATTTAATTTTTTATCTGTTCTTGATATCTCGTCGATATAATTTATGGATATAATTCGTTACAACTTGTTATATTACAATCCGTGTCAAACAAAATTTTCCATCTATCTGATCAGATACCCTGTTGTTCAGTCATTATCTTGTTTTTTAACGAATCGTGAAAATCTAGATTGCGCTTATTTACTTAGAATATTCTAGAAATCATTGATTCTCGGATTTAGTGTGCCGGAATAGTCATCTTTTCAGACGTTTGTCTAGACATAAGACACACGATCGAATCACGGAGATTTGTGAGTTCCATTATGAAACTTTTCGATTTACGTAAATTCTGATCCATAGTAAGGAAAGAAAGAGAGAGAGAGAGATTTCGATTGGGTTGCAGTGCTCGGAGTAGATTAAATCTTCATGGAGAAATGGGGCGATCGAGTGCGATAAATCAAGTCCCCTAGGCTTCTCATTTCAGAAAAGACGTGTCTTCTTCTCTTTAAATCATTCTCCCATGCTACATGTCAGCAGAGATTAAAATTTTATTTAAGCTTGCAATTTCATTTGTGATTATTTTATATAAGATATAAGAAAGTATGAGATAACTTATTTCATTTATTTAGTTTTTTATACATATATATATATTTGTTTTATATATTATAATAATTAAGAGAATTTATATATACAAATATTGCACAAAATAAGTATTAGCCAAATTAAAAACATTCCTCATATATGCTAATATAAAATTCACAATTCACTATAATGCTTTTTTAGTATGTAAATTATTATTTACACTGGTTATATTTTGTAAATCACAATTATTTACATAGAAATTATGCCCGCTTCTTTCTAGGATTATCTTATCAAGGATATCTTTTAATTACGATCGCGCAATGACGATAATAAACGTTGATCGTATAATTTACATGCGAGTGATTTAGAAATTATCTTCCTCTCACAGCAAAGCCTTTTGAATTGAAACCTCGTTTGCGAATGGCTGGGCTTCGTCAACAGACTTGTTACGCGCCAAACGTTTTCCCTTCGCCATCCGCTTCGAATATCATATTGTCTCTATTCGTATGACATTCTGCTTTATCGGTCCAGCATATTGAAGCAACCGACCGGAAACGTGGTAGCTGAATATGTCTCGAATTTCCTTTTTTCTATCTACATCTTACTCGATTGCCCTCCCGCCTTTCTCTAAAACTGACAATTCAGATCTCTCTTTTTCTCTCCGAGGGTTCTCGACTATGGTTTGAGACTTGGGGATGGGAACAGTCATGCGTGTCATCCACGGTATTTGCCGAACGTCAAATATCTGCCGTCAAATATCTGCCCCAAAGAAATGAATTGGTTATCACACCATTGTTCGTTGTACGTCGAATATTTGTTCTACTCGAGATAGCGCGCATGCGTTTGTTAGAACATAATTGATACGATACGATATACATTTTTAGAGATGTTAACTAACGTTAATGATATTATCGGGAATTTATTAATACTTCTCTGCTGATCAGTGTTAATTATAAGTTTCAAAAAAACATGTCGAAAAGTTATTTTCTCTTCTGTCTATTTACGCTCAATGATATGGACTGCTGTAAAATTGAGCCAGTTCTATCTGAGATTAAGTTATTGAAGATAACTATTAAAGATTAAGCTCTATCAATGATATAGACTGGATTATTTATTAACGCTACAATGGAAATGTAGTTTACAAGTTTTGCGTTTACCTGCGAATCGCGTAATAATTGCTATTAATAACAAATTGATTTAAGATGGGATTTTGTGTTTTGAGTTGATAATCAAGAATGGAAGAATCATATGATGGGAATACGAATTTAAAACGAATCTAATATTAATCATTTTCTTTATTAATAAAGACATCAGGTCAAGTGACAAACTCGATTTTTGGATTACATTAAATAAGGGATCTCAATGAATGTGATATTACGTTTTTATGATCGTTTTTTTTAAAATAATTTTGTGTTACTATAAATATATAGTATACACACGCACATGCTACTGAAATTATAATATACCGTACACAAAAATATACGCAGACCTTTATAAATCTTAATTTAAATATCTTGTAATGGATGTCCTGTATTATGGGACTTCTATATAGACATTTTTTGCAACATTAAATAAAAATAATTTATTTATGATAAGAATATCAAAACACAAGTGTTATATCTATAATGATTGTTTTGAGGCTATAAAAAAATATGAGATTAATATTAAAAGTGTATGTGTATCAGTGTATCATACAAGTATATATGTATACAAAGTATATGTATGTAAATAAGTAGATGATTAACTTGCCATTATCGCGACAGATATGATTACAGAGGAAAACATGTCAACAATACCATACGAAAAATAAACTCGTTAGATTGAAGTAGCTCTTTAAATTGCCCCACCGTGTACACTGCAGCTTTAAAAGCCTGCACTGGAGCATTTAGTATCATAAATCGCACATTAATAGCACAAATAATATAAAAAAATTTACGATGGCACGGCTAATTGCTTTGTTCCTCCTTTTCGTTACGGTCTGCGTCTGTAAGTTTTCTAATTATTTCACTTTGATCATATGACATTGATTCATAAGAAATTTGTTTTAAATTCTCTTTTCTTTTAAATCTAATATGCAAAGTATGAATTTACTATGATATAATTATGCAGTATTCACATTCCGTCTTTTCTTACACAATGTTTTTGAAACATTTGATTTTACAATAGTGTGGAAAGATAAAAAAGTACAGTTTTAAGATACGTTTTACATATAAAATAATTTGATGTTAAATCAATTATTTTTTTGTGTATGATTTTATAACATACATTATTTAGACGGTTATTCTACAAAACCTCAACCATGCGGTTCTAATGAGGAATGGAATAAATGTGCAGTGCCAATATTTTGTGAACTTAAATGCGGTGAAGATGCTCCAAAGATATGTTCTAAGGTACGCAAATACAATAGTTATAATAATTATGTCATCATAATACTGGTTATTAAGTTGATTTATATACAGGGTGTCCGAAATAAAATAATACACTTGAATAACTTGTAAACAGTAAGTATTAGGAAATAATTATTAAATAAAAGTTGTAGAATATATAGTGGGTAAGTTGGGTATGATATCACCAGCCCATCACTTCATATTTCGGTTATCTCATTCGGTTTTTTTAAAATAGAACCACCCTATTTTTTATATAAATTAATTTTATATAAATTGATTCTTTGCAATATTCGGTGTAAAAAGTTATAAGGATAGAGGATAGCCAAAAATTAAATAATTTACGAGGTATTTTATACTTTAATTTGACATAATTTAAATATCTCTCGTAAAATATTCATTTTCTGATTATTTTACCTCAATACTTTTATGCGTAAAATAATGAAAGGAATCTCAATTGGTATAGTAATTTTTAAGAAAAAAAATGAAGTTGTAATGAGTAGCTATATTTATACCTACTGTTTATTTAGGTGTATTATTTTATTTTGGATACCCTATATTATATTCACTAATTTGAGTCAAAAATTGATTTCCATCAAGTTAAAAATGAATTTGTTTTCTCGTTTTAATTTTAGATATGCGTTTCCCGTTGTCAGTGCATAGCAGGATATAAGAGAAATTTAATTACCGGTCTTTGTGTTTCTGAGAATTGTTAATTTTTCTTGAAAATAGAATAATGAAATTTTTTGAGAAGCGAATTTGTTTCAGTGATTATTATACTTTAATTGTTAAATGTGTTTAAACTCTATTATATGTAGACTCTTGTTATTATGTTCAGCCGTTTATATCATTTTTACTGAAAGGTGTTTTGTTATGTGATAATTTTATTTTAATAAACGCTTAAAGTTTATTTAATTTTAGAATATTTATTTTCTTTTATATTTTATATATTATATTTCTTTTATATAATTATATGTTACAAGGAAAATATGCAATCTAGCAAGAAATTATTTCTGTGACTTTATTTGCTTTTTTCATATCTTTCTCTGTATAACTAATATTATATCATTATTATTACGAATTTAAATATATATACAAAAAGAATTGTTTTGATATGAGAAAAATTGTTATATGATATTTGACAAAAATGATGATAAATTTCCATTATTTACTATGTAATAACTGTGTGCTTCGAGAGATTATGTAAATATTATTAACGTCAAATAGCGTTAATTCGCGAAGCGCAAATGTGCAAATTACCAACTGTGATCATCAAACTCACCGATCGGGAAAAACATGTTGTCGATTTTAAGACACTTTTTAAGAGATAAAAGATAACGTTTAATGATCATTTTTATGTAAAAGTTTATCTATTTAAATTAAATAAAATTGTTAAATTGCGTTCGACGAAAAATTATTAATTTAATAATTATATTTTATTTAACGTAATAATAGATGCCTAATATAAGCTTCTATGTACATATATTGCAATAGCTCAAGTGTATATGTACTTTGCGTAGACTAAAAATATTTTGCTATTACATAAGAGAATAGATTATAGTTCTTAATGATGTTGAACTCCATCTATATACACAATGCTCGTGGCAATCGATTGTGAAACATAATAAGCGCGATTGCCGGAAGATTAAACTTATTGTTAGTTGTCATTTAGTTATCATTAGTCTAGTCTATCATTAGTCTATCATTAATCTAGGCGCTATCTGTCCATGTAATTGGTGTCCTGGGTTTTTTCAGATCTTCTATTTAGATAATTTAGGTTTTAGATATTTTATTGAACAGAGGATAAATTTATATTAGAAAATTTAATGAAGACATATGTATTTTTAAATATTTTTTTAGTTATTAAAAATATTGATACTGCATGGTCTTTTGAATATATATATTAAATTTAATTTATTTATTTTACAGTTTTTTTTTTTAGGAAAACATGCTTATAATTTGGAACATGTTTAAGATAAAAATTTGTATATAAAAAGAATCATGAATATATTAACGTTCTGGAAATATAAATAACTAATAAAATATTCTGATATGTATTTACATAATTTTTTTATTAAAAACACAAGCAACTTTCATAGTAATTATATAATATAATATAATTGTTTAAATTAAAAAAATTTGAATATCACTAAAAGCACTTGTCCAACAAATATACTATAGAAATCAGTAAAAATGCTTTGATCATACATGCTCATTTCGTATTATTTTATATCGACACAGTTGATGTTTGGAAATTATATTTGTTTAGTTGTTGAATGTGGTTAACAATTTTGCGTAGCTATGCATCTGTTTTCCCCGTTTCTCACATATCCCTGTATGCAGTCACATCCAGGAATACATGCCTGAAAATAAAATGAGAAGCATTAAAAATATATATAGAGATTTTATTTATAAAGAATTACTTTAGAATTCCGCATTCTACTCACACAAATATATTTTTATAAATTTTATTTACTAAAAAATACGCATGTAATTATGTAAAACAGCAAAAATATTAGCGATAATATAAGAATTATCTACTCGCATTTCTACGGTGCCACAAATTTAAGCAGATTTTGAAGAAAATTAAGAGAATATCTTTGAGATATTTTAAACAATAAAAAATTTTTTAATGCATTTTATTAGAGGATGCAATACTGACCAATGTACAGACAGGGGGAACTGGATTTTGGCAAGTGCTTGGGCACGACGAACCACAGCTGTTGAATACCTCGTTTACACCGCAGTGAGGCACGGCATCTACAAGAACGTATTTAAAAATTAATTATTTTTATCTTTTATTTAATAAAATTCTTATTAGTATGTGTAAGATATTGTCATGTTACCTGAAATATATAATTCTATTAATTATTTATAAAATCTTATGACAATATCAGTAAAAGAAATTTCAAGTTTGACTCGATATTTGATAATTTAATAGATTGTTTTAAACTTACTAATGGTAGCAACTGCGATGAGGAAGAGGAGAATTACGGCGCGGGCCATGTTTGTATTTCTCGATGCTATTCGATATTCGCTTGCGCCTGAGCAACTCAAGTTGGACTGATGATAAGTGTTCGTTTTACTGAGCTTATATACAATTTCGAGCGGCCTTCGCCCGCCACACGCCTTTCTCGAGATAGACATCTTTTTCGGCATAATTACTTCCTTTTTGTTCTTGATGTTCTTGCCTCAAGTCATCTCATAACGACTTGGTTGGAGGTTGGAACCGTTATCGAAATGTGTGACATGAATTTTAACTATGATATTTTCTATTAGTAGAGAATCTTATAATTTAATTTTAACTTGCTAGCAGAATTTGTGAATCAAATCGGTTTGTCTTAATCTTGATGTTTCAAACTTATATAATTGTTAGAACAGCTGCAATTATTGTTAAAACATTATTTTACTCTACTTATAATGCTTAAAATCTAGTTAGATTTTAGTTGTACAAATATCAGATAATTGTCAATAAATTTAAGTCTCAAAATATGTTTTTATATTTTACATTTTATCACACACACATATGATATAATCATAAATGTGACATGATAGAGAAATAATCTTTATATCTTCTAGAAGAATATTATCTCTCTTTACAAGTTCTAGAAAATTATTATCTTCCTTTTTTCGGAGTACATTATTTATCTTCGAATAATGTAGAATTTATTTGTCATTGTGCAACTAATCATACGCATTGCATTTAAAACACCTGTTAGTTATCGATATTGATAATATCTTCTATATGAGAACATTATGTGATGTACTTAGATATACTAGAAGAATTCACGCATATAGCGTATTAGCATACTAAACATACGTATAAATAGAGAAAAAAAATAAATTATTATTTATAAAAAAAATATTTATATGTTACATATTGTAATAATTATGATTACTATCTTTGATTATTAATTACTGATTATTATTATTATTTTGATTATATTAATTACTGATTATATTTATTATTGATTACAAATCTTTTTCTCGTTTCTATAATCATAGAAAAAAGCTGAAACTAATGAAATATGTTCTTCAACCAAAATATTTAAATTATAATTGCTTCAACTGAAAATAATATATGTAAATCATGTGATTGCTTATCTCGTTTAAGGAAAGAGTTTAAATAAGACTCAAATGATACGTTCCCGTTAATAAGGTCAATTATATCTTATCGGACTGACCCTTTCTGTTTGAATTCGGCGCATGTTTTCATTATGTATGTCCAAGAAATACATAATTTTATTTGGAGAGATTTACAACCAGTTATGTCTCTTGATATTTTCTCCATAGATATAAGTAGTACAATATTTACATTATTAGTAAGACTAAGTGAAATGTACTATATAAAATAGATAATATTTTATGTGTCATTTTACATATCATAAACATCTTTTACACTTTTTTAGATTTTACATAAAAATACACTGAAAAAAATTTCTCAGATTTTTTTATGTAAAACTTTTGAAACTATTTTATATGAAATCTTATACGAAATCTTATACGAAATTGACAGCAAAAAATAACGATCGAGTAAATTCTACTTATCGCTTTCAATCTAAGTTTAATCAATAACTGATTACCTACAAAAGTTGGTTAATCTATAATAATAGTATATCGATAGTAAAGTATCTCTCTCTCATTAAATTGATCATTGCGAGTGTGATTGTGCTCGTATAGTGTGCACGTAGCGACGATAAGAATTATTATCATTTCTGCTCTCTCTCTAACAGATTTTTAATATATATTTCTATTCTAATTTAATATGTATTAATATGTATTCTTATTTAATTTGCGTATTGCAATTAATGAAATAAGGTAATGTTTTATGTACGATTTACATTGACTCATTTTACGTTGTAGAATGAGATCATATTATGATGGATCTTTTGTTTCCTATCTTTAAAAACGAGATAAGGAAAAATTTATCATGTTATTGATCATAAAATGCACATAATGTATATATGGAACATAATTATGTTAAAAAAGATATAACGTTATTTTTACATCTGACTATTTAATATGTTTTCTGTTGTAATGTCAATTTCAAAGAATCTACTGCTGCGCGAATTAAATATGTAATTATATTTTTTTTCTACGAGTGGATATAAATAACGTTACATTTCACATTTGTATGACTATTTTTCTATTTTATTATAGAAAAAAATTTGATTAATATACGTAATATAATTATTTTTCTTTTTTCTTTTTTGATTCTGTATAGTCATATAACGAGCCAAAAATTAACTTTTATATTTTAATAGAATTATTCTAACAATAAATAATATAATAATTACTCTAACAATAAGTAATATAATATCTCTTTCTTTTTTCTAAATTTAAATATATCAATATTACTAACACATAGTGTATCCATATGCGATATCTCTCATAACAGTCAATATTAGCTAATATATTACTCGTTTCGTTGAAACCGAGTATTTGTTATTTAAACAGCATTGACGTATGAATCTTCGTTCAGTTCTTAGAAGTGCAATCAGAATGGAAAAAGTATATATTCTCTTTCACATGTGATTTTTTTTCTCATTTATTGATGGAAGAAAGATGTTTCTGCCATTTAATTTTTTTAATGAAGAATGTCGTATATTTAAAAATATGGAAATAAATATACATATATATATATACATATGCATGCATGCATATACGCTCGTGCACTTACACACACATATATATATATATATATATATATATATATATATGTGTGTGTGTGTGTCTATTTTTTAACTATTTTATTTATATTATCATGTTACATTCGGAGAGATGATATTACATATATATATTACACCACAAATTTATAAGTATAAAGATACAAAAGGGTTTTGACATCAAATAATATATAATTTAAAAAATAATTTTTTAATAATTGCGTAGCTAAAAAGTTGAAGTTTAAAAATAAATCATTGTAATTTCATTATTAACATTTGCAATCGCACGGACGGACACATTTATTGTGTTTATCTTTTAAGTACCCAGGTTTACATTGACAACCTTTAACGCACAGCTGAAACGCAAGTATATAAAAAGCTCACAAAATGTATAATATATTAGTACATTGTTTTATGAGAAATATATTGTATATATTGGTTTAGAGACATTTCTTGTATAATATTATAAATACGTATGATATTATAAATATATCTGATACAAATCTGTTAATGTATAGATATACATATTGCCTGCATTTATTTGTCAGATAATAATTAAAATACTTAAAAAAATAATTAAAGACTTACAGTAATACAAGCTTGCGGTTTTTTCGGGGGAATACACTTTGGAGGACACGCCGTACCGCATTCAGTCCATATTTCATTTTTTCCGCACTTTTGCGGCAGATTTCCCCAAACAGCTATAATAATTGATTAATTCATAAATATATAAGATTAGTAATAGCAATTATATTTATACTATAATATTAATATAATCTTATATGCTATTATATGCTATTATATATTTTATTAAATAAAGTAATTGCGTTATTTAATTTATTTACGAAACATAAAAATTAATATTAAGTTAAGTAAAATTAATTTTTTATAGTTTTAGTTATTATAAGTAATTTTCTTATTATTGAGAAAAAAAATATAAAAAGAAATAAAGTAAAAACTGCATTTGTGTGGTAAATAATATATAATAGTTTTCAAACAGAAGTTATAGTCTAGTTTTATACTTAAATAATTATTATGAACAATTAAATAAATAATATAAATATTATTAAAAAATTATATGTGTATCTGTAATAAAGCGCATTCTGATAAACTTACTTGATAATACTGCGACAACGACGAGAAGGCAGAAAACAGTGCGAGACATGTTTCAATATCACTCTGTTGCGGATTTACTACATACATACCGGGAAGATGACAAATCCAGCTTTTATATTCTTTTTGCTCTGATTCTTTTATCGTTTATGTTTTACGATAAGAAAATTTGATGAAAAGGTAACGCGTCTTTTACAATAAAAGAGGAAAACTTAAAACAATTTTCGTTATTACAATCTGTTTCTCCCAACTGTCGCACTATATTTTTGTTTTGTACACAAGACACTTAGTAGGTATATTCAGATCTTTTGGTTAGTCGATACCAATCATTTGAATATTACGTTAAGATTTCCTTGCCAGATAATCAGTGGAAAGAGTATGTTTCATATTGTGCGCCTTATTCCCATCCCATGGAGAATTAATTAAAGTTATGCAATGTGGAATCACATACACACACATACACGGATTTCTTCTCAAAGTGTACTTGAATGTTTTTATGCGTAAGATCTGGTATGTTAAAAAATATCTTGGAAAACAATATTTAAGATGGATTATTATCTTCTAACTGAATTAAAATTTATTTTATTAATAGAGTGATATACCTATTTATTACTACAATAATAACTATATATAAAAATTAGTGCTTATATTTCACCATAACATTATTTTATTATGTATATTCTGGCATTATAAGTTATATATATACATATCTTCTCTGAATATATTCCATCACATTGTGTATACATTTTACTAACAATGAAATAGGCATTCCTAAAAAGAGCAGGTCTGTTTCTTTTTTCTCTTTTTCTCTTTCAAATTAGTACTACTTAAATATAGATACAATAAAGAAGCTTAAAAAGTATTTCGCAGAGTTTATTTCAGTTGTCATCTCAATCAAACAGTCGATAACTTTTTCGCAAAGAATTAATCACGATATAATCAAGATATAAGTAAAATTAAATGTTGATACATTCAAAAGAATATTGCTGTGTACAATTTTAACACGATATAAGCTAAATTTCAAGATGAGTACATAAGATGTATAAATGTATAAATTATAACATTAATATATAGGGGAAAGTAGGGTAAAACCGGGTACCTTTTTGGATTTGTCTTCCTACAAAAAATCTGAGAGTAAAAAAAGTTTTGCCGACCGTTAGTAGTCTTTAGTGAACCTTAAA